TTACTTTACCTAATAAATTTAATCAAATGCTTTTAACTTAACTAAGCAATATGACTAAGTTTATCTTATTTTCAATTTTTTGTCAAGGGACACAAACACTTTTCTTTACTTTAAATAACTTCTTTTAATAGTTGATCAATATTTTCAGTCAATAACTTAAAGCATTTGATTAATATAACTTCTTAGTATTAAGTAGACTTTTTTAAAAATATTTTTCTCAAATTATTTTATGCTTAAAATATTTCAGGTGGGCACGTCACCAGGAGGAGGGGTGGGGGACCTCTAGGCAAGGCGCCTCGAGGGTGGGGGGCCTCGAGGCACGACGCCTCGAGGCTGGGGGGAGGGGTGGGTGGGTGGGGAGTCTCAGGGCTTATATGGGTCGGGCTTATGAGCCTTAGTTTTAAATGGACTTGAAAAATTCTATCCCAACCCTACCCTAATAACGGGTTTAGTTGGGCCGGCCCCATGGGCTAAGCCCGTTTTAACGGCTCTAATATGTGGTGGTTTCCCAACTCATTATGGAGTTCTTATAAATTTTTTGAGAAAAACATTTTAGGAGCTTTGGGGCGCCATATCCATGGGCATTTACACACGAAAAATTGAATGTTTGGGTATTTCTTAAAAAATGGCCTGTAAATGCGGGTATAGGTCTTAAAATTTTTTGTGAGTATACGTGGTGGTTCCTCAACTTATTACGGAGGTCCTCAAAAGGTTTTTGAGAAAAAAAATTAGGAGCTTTGGGGGACCATATCCATGGGCTGATACACACAAAAAATTGAATATTTGGGTAATTCCTAAAAAGGGCCTATAAATGTGGATATAGGCGTTAAAAATTGTGTGAAAATATATGTGGTGGTTCCTCAACTCATTATGGAGGTCCTCATAAAGTTTTTTCACTAAACAAGTTTGGCTGTTCAGGGGCGCCAGATGTATAGGCTAATACGTACGAAAAATCAAGGAATTTGAGTAATTCCAAAAAGAACCTATAAATGCGAAAATAGGAGTTAAAAATGGTGTGAGTTACATGGTGGTTCCCCAACTTATTAGAGAGGTGCTCCATGACACCAAATCTATGGGCTGTAAATGCGGAAATGCGGAAGTAGGCGTTAAAATGGTATGAGTATACGTGTTGGTTCCACAACACATTACGGAGGTTCTCATAAATTTTTTTGAGAATAAAGTTTAGGTGCTCCAGGCGCCAGATCTATGGGCTAATACACACGAAAAATCGAGGAATTTGGGTAGTTCCTAAAAAGGGCCTGTAAAAGCAGAAATAGTCGTTCAAAAAAAGTGTAAGTATACATGGTTGTTCCCCAACTCATAACGAAGGTCTTATAAAGTTTTTTTTATAAACAAAATTTGGGTGCTCCAAGCGCCAGATCCATGGGATTAACACACGAAAAATCAAGAAATTTGGTAATTCCTGCAAAATGACATGTAAATGCTGAAATAGGTGTTAAAATGGTATGAGTATATGTGTTGATTCCAAAACAAATTATGAATGTTCTTATAAACTTTTTGAGAATAAATTTTGGATACTCCGAGGCAGCAGATCCATGGGCATTATACACACGAAGAATCGAGAAATGTGGGTAATTTCTAAGAAAGGGTCTGTATATGCGGATATAGGCGTTAAAAAAATGGTATACGTGGTGGTTACCCAACTCATTACGGAGGTCCTTATAATTTTTTTGAGAAAAAAAATTTGGGTGCTCTGGGGCGCTAGATCCATGGGATAATACACATGAAAAATCGAGGATCTGAATAATTCCTAAAAAAGTGTCTCTAAATGCGGAAATAAGCATTAAAAATGGTGTGAGTATATGTGGTGGTTTCTAGCTCATCACGGAGGTCCTCATAAAGTTTTTTAAGAAAAAATTTTTGGGTGCTCTAAGGCGTTAGATCCATGGGCTAATACACTCGAAAAATCGAGAAATTTGTGTAATTCTTCAAAAAGGACCTATAAATGCATAAATAGGCGTTAAAAATGGTGTGAGTATAAGTTGTGGTTCCCCAACTCATTACAGAGGTCCTCATAAAGTTTTTTGAGAAAATATTTTTGGTGCTCCAGGGTGCAAGATCCATAGGCTAATACACATGAAAAATCGAGAAATTTGGGTAATTCCTTAAAAAGGGTCTGTAAATGCAGATATATGGGTTAAAAATGATGTGAGTATACGCGGTGGTTCCCAAATCATTACGGAGGTCCTTATAAAGCTTTTTGTGGAAAAAATTTGGATGCTCCGGGCACTAGATCCATGGGCTAGGCTAATATACAAGAAAAATCGAGGAATTTGGGTAATTCCTATAAAAGGGCATGTAAATGTGGAAATAGGTGTTTATAAAATTGTGTGAGTGTACGTGGTGGTTCCCCAACTCATTACGAAGGTCGTCGAAAAGTTTTTTGAGAAAATAGTTTTTGGGGCTCTAGGGCGCCATATCCATTTGCTAATACACATGAAAAATCGAGAAGTTTGGGTAATACCTTAAAAAGGGCCTGTCAATACGGATATAGTCGTTTTAAAAAATTATGTGATTATATGTGGTGGTTCCCCAACTCATTAAGGAGGTCTTTATAAATGTTTTTGAGAAAACAATTTTGAGTGCTCTAGGCGTCATATCCATGGGCTAATACACATGAAAAATCGAGGAATTTATAAAAAAGGGTCTTTATATGCGAAAATATGCATTAAAAATGGTGTGAGTATACGTGGTGGTTCCCCAACTTATTACGGAAGCCCTCATAATTTTTTTTTGAGAAAAAAAAATCTTTGGGTGCTCTGGGGTACCAAATCCATGGACTAATACACACGAAAAATCAAAGAATTTGGGTAATTTCTAAAAAAGGGCTTGTAAATGCAGATATAAGCGTTAAAAAATTGTGTGAATATACGTGGTGGTTCCCCAACTCATTAAGAAGGTCCTCTTAATGTTTTTTGAGAAAAAAAATTTGGGTACTCTGCGGCACCAGATCCATGGGCTAATACACACAAAATCTCGAGGAATTTGGGTAATTCGTAAAAAAAGGACTGTAAATGCAGAAATAGGCATTAAAATTTGTTTGAGTATACGTGGTGGATCCTCATAAAAAAAAATTGAAATTTTTTTTAGATGCTCAGGGGCACTAGATCCATGGGCTAATACACACGAAAAATCAAGGAATTTGGGTAATTCCTAAAAAATGGCATGTAAATGTGGAAATAGGCATTAAAAATGGTGAGTATATGTGGTGGTTCCCTAACTCATTATGGAGGTACTCATAAAGTTATTTGAGAAAAAAAAATTGGTTGCTCCAGGTCGTCATATCCATGGGCTAATACACACAAAAAATTGAGAAATTTGGGTAATTTCTAAATAAGGGTCTGTAAATGAGGATATATGCTTTAAAAATGGTGTGAGTATATTTGGTGGTTCCCCGACTTATTACAGAGGTACTCATAGAGTTTTTTGTGCAAAATATTTTGGGTGCTATCGATGAATTTGGGCAAGTCCTAAAAAAGGTTCTGTAAATGCGGAAATAGGCGTTATATACGTGGTGGTTCTCAACTCATTATGAAGGTCCTCATAAAGATTTTTGAGAAAAAAAAATTGGGTGCTCTGGGTGCAGATCAATGGGCTAATGCACTCGAAAAATTGAGGAATTTGGTAATTCCTAAAAAATGGCCTTTAATGCGAAAATAGGCGTTAAAAATGGTGTAAGTATACGAGGTGGTTCCCCAACTCATTATGAAGGTCCTCATAATTTTTTTTGAGTGCTTCAGGGCGCCAGATCCATGGGCTAATACACACGAAAAAGTGAAGAATTTGGATAATTCCTAAAAAAGGGTTTGTAAATGCGGATATAGGCGTCAAAAATGGTGTGAGTATATGTGGTGGTTCCCCAACTCATTACAGAAATCTTCATAAAGTTTTTTGAAAAAAAAATTGGGTGCTCCGGGGCGTTTTTATCCATGGTAAAATACACGAAAAAATGAGGAATTTGGTAATTCTTAAAAAAGGGCATGTGAATGAGGAAATAGGCGTTAAGAAAATGATGCGAGTATATGGGATGATTCCCCAATTCATTATGAAGCCCATCATAAATTTTTTTGACAAAAAAAAAAATTGTGCTCCGAGGCGCCAGATTCATGGGCTAATACACACAAAAAATCTAGAAATTTGAGTAATTCCTAAAAAATGTCTGTAAATGCGGAAATAAACGTTAAAAATGGTGTGAATATATGTGGTGGTTCCCCAACTCATTACGAAGGTCCTCATAAAATTTTTTGAAAAAAAAAAATTTGAGTGCTCCAGTGCGCAAAATCCATGGGCTAATATACACAAAAAATCGAGGAATTCGAGTAATTCCTAAAAAATGGTATGTATATGCAGTTATAAGCGTTAAAAAATTGTGTGAGTATACATGGTAGTTCCCTAACTCATTACGGAAGGTCCTCATTAATGGTCCAGAACATGAGGCACTATATGAGACTGCTACAAATTAACATGAGTACTACTTTACACTCTTTTTTCGGGTCGGGCTTCTTATACTAATCCCAGCCCAGCCTCGGGAATAGTTGAACAAATGAGAGGTTGTCATGAAGGGGTCAAAGGTTGCTCAAGACCCCTTTTAACCTTGCCTGCTTGTATTATATCACTATTCACTCGCCTGTCTGACCTGTTTTCTGGTTAAAAAAAAAATTATGGCAAGCGTCACCCTTACCTACCTAGCATTACATCTTGCTAACATATTGCATGCATATTAACTTTGCCATTTAGCAATGGTGGATTAATATCCATAGTCACCTCATTTTATCACCCCCAGGCCCCAACTACAGAAAATTAGTATAGTTTGGTGTAAACATCATATAATTCGAAAGGGTAATAATGTACTAACACCTTACAACAACAATAACAACATACTCGGTGTAATTCCACGAGCGAGGTTCATGTATTGGAACATGCCTTGTGCAGGTAAAATATATCATTTTAGCAACAATACTAGGATTTGTAGATAGGAATTAGTTTGTCCTCAACTTCGAAAATTGAACTTCTTTTCCCTTTAAGAAGTTGGCATACCAGTATGCAGAAAGCTTTGGATACCTTCTTAATTCGTTGTCGTCCAAATCTACATAGTAGAGGCCATAGCTCAGTACATATCCACCAAGTAACTCAAAACCATCTAAGAAGCACCACGCGAAATACCCTCTAGTATTCGATCCATTCCTGCATTATCACGGAGAGTGAGCAAAAGAAAAGCTTTTACCAAAGCCAACAGATACAGTCAATAGCTAGTTGTTAGAGGGTACCTAACAGCATCAAGAACACTCCCAATGTAGGCATGCATATATTCTATCCTCGGCGTGTCATTTAGTGTCCCATTTCGTAGAGTCTTTTGACCTGCCAAAGCAAATCATTCTAAGCATCTGTAATACTTTACATTTCAGGAATTTGAAGAGAAGTACATAAGTAAGAATGTTTGCTGCCTAAAATCCTCATGTTAGCATCCGTTTAGTCTACCAACGGTGATTAATCCACTAATGTTGTATTTAAAGTTATTTGAATTCAATGGAACGACAAGCAGAAAATTATTCCAATCTTTGAGTACTTTAGCTCAAGAGATTGTAGGTTTTCTATCAAAGAATCAGCACCATAAATAAGGTCATTAGAAAATATCTGATTTCATCTTGCAGCGTCCCATAACTAGATCCATATCAAGGGACCGTAACACCTTACATTCGGAATTCAGAGGAAACTACAAACTTCATCATATTCTTAGAAAAACCGCACCATAACAAAAGCTAGCTGTATAACAGGCATCTTGTTTTATATGAAATGAACTAAAACATAGGTGTAAAAACTCAGAAATTGGATGTGCATAAATCAAAGAGAGGGACGCGATTGGCGAGGACTCACCATTTTCTTGAATGTAAATCGGCAGGTTTCCATAAGCTTCTTTAAGATACTCCAGAAGTTCATAAAGACCAGAAGGTATCACTGGATACTTAAGTCATGAGACAATATTTAAGCGACAGTATATAATCTCGAAATATCACATAAGAACTTATTTTATTATATTAGATGCCTCACCTGATCTGCTGTCAATGCCTCAACTGCAGAAACCCAAAAAAAACAAACATAAAATTAGCAAGCTCATTCATATCACATAATCCATCATAAGCAGATAACGAACTAGATTATGCAACTTACCGAGGACATGACTCTAGATAAGAAAATTTGGAGGCCGAGTATTGTCTAGTTCCCTTTTCAATATTGTTATTATTACTCTCCTACTATCTTACTCTTAGATTTTAGTATTACTACTTGTTGTTTCCTGTGCTTCAGTTGTCGTATTATTTTGTCAACATGACTTCTTTTGCTACAGTATTCGCTTTACATACTTGTATTTTTGTTGATATGCTTTTACTTAATCCAAGGGTCTATTGGAAACAACCTCTCTACCTTCACATCACAAGGCAGGGGTAAGGCTGCATACACACCACCCTCCCTAGACCCCACTTGTGGGATTACGTGGGTATGACATAACGGTCAGAATTCGTGAGCATTTAGTAAGAAATGGATTTCATACGTGAGACCTCTGCCGCCATGTCAGCACCGAAGTCCCTGCTATGCTTTTCAATGCTGGAAGGCCTGTCCTTCACAGATACAGTAATGTAGTGGTTTAGGCCTATGAAGTCAACTGAGCCCTTAACTAGCTTAGCTTCATATGTGGTGAAGGTTGGAATTCTTGCCCCGGCAGCCTTCTTCATTATACAGGGATAGTCTCCAAATACGAAAGGGTTCATAATCCTGCAGCAAAAAGTTAATTGTTGTAAACAAATATCTCACTTGCAAACAACAACATGCTCGATGTAATCCCACAAAGTGGGGTCTGGTTACCTAGGAGGTAGAGAGGTTGTTTCTAAAAGACCCTCAGTTCAAGAAAAAACAGTTCAAAGAAATTCGGAGAAGGAAATAATAACAAAAATGAAGAAACCACAGCAAGATACTATAGAAAGCATGACCAAACATTCTGAAGAGTAACTACAACAAAAAATACGACAATAGTAGTACAAGAAGTGGCAGATAGCAACAGAAATCTAGTAACAAGAAACTACATGAGTAATGCTACGACTACTAATAGGGAAGAAAAATACTTTACTTGCAAAGGCAGGATAAATGCATTTAACATGCTATCAAAGGTTACTTGCTTTAATTTACAGGTTACTAGTACCTTTATTTTAAATGACCCGAGAGTGTATGGAACGTTTACACTATCAGTATATAGAAGTTAAACTTTGATTGATGTGGTAGTTAATAAGGCAAGAGTTTATATGTGTGGCAAATACAATTAGCCAATGAAATCCTAAAACTTACCAACCAGTATAAAATTCATTTACTCGTTGTGCTGCAATTACATCAGCGGTTGCATTTGAATAAGGAACGGACCACATACCATATATATTAAATCCCACGAAACCACGTTGAGTGGACTGCATTTCAAAATTTCGCTGTCATTAGTAAGCACAAGTCTTGTAGTAAAATTGATCGAACTATAACCTCAGAGACTAAAATGCTAAATCATTGCGACTTAAATAATAATACAGATGAAAGTTATTTATTGCTTCTAGATTAAAATCTTTACCTTGTAATTTCTCCTGTACAATTTCATTGCAGATGAATGCGCAAGTAACGTGTTATGAACAACCATATATGGCTCAGTAGATGAATTCCCTCTAGAACAATTAACTGCAAAAGGCAGGGAACAACGTCCAGGAGGGGCGAAGCCATTATCATAACCTCCAATCGCATATGTATTGGCCTCATTAATGGTGGTCCAATACATCACCCTGTCACCAAATTCCTTGAAGCATACCTCTGCATATGCCGTGAAGTCCTTCCTAAAATCAAAAGAAAACTCTACTGTTGAAGTTAATCATATCCAAGTGTCCTTATACTCAAACTGATATATGAGTCTATCGACATTACACAATCTTTCGGCTTAACCAGCCTCCATATTCATCTTCAAGTGCCTGCGGTAGATCACTGTGAAATAGTGTAACGTGTGGTTGAATACCTGCAACATTGAAAGATATGAATGACTTTTTTAGTTTACCCGGAAGTGCAGCGTTTTGCTTTTCATTTCTTGCTATTATATGTAATCGACAAAATGTACTGAAATTTCTAAACGTTGGCATGGTCACAAAGAAATGTAGTTATGACCGTGGCTAATAAGTTCATCAATGTAATTGTTGTAAAATTGTAAACCCTTTGGATTTACAGGTCCTCTTCCACCTGAAAAGAGAACAAACACGGCATCAAAGGGGATGGAAATAAACAAAAATAATCTGAGGTGTTTTCATGTAGCATCAAGGGGCTAAACATACCAGGAATAAGTCTAGACCACGAAATAGAGAACTTGTATGCTTCTAAGCCAGTGTCAACCATGAGTTGGACATCGTCCTGCAACAAAAATTTGATGAACTCAAAATGACTTTCTTAATGAAAAAACTGATTGTATTATAATGCTACCAACTCCTTACAAAATGTAGCGAACAAACATAGTATGTTGCTTGGACTCCACAAAAATGTAGACAGCTGCACGTCTGATCCTCCAATAAAAGGTACATCTTTGGAGGTCCGAGCAACGTAGCCATAAACCACCAATAAGAAGACACTCGAAGGTAGCCACACCTAAGGAGCATTATGCTAACGTGTGAAGGACCTAAACTATGTAAGATCAATTATAAGATGCTTAAACAAATATAATTCAAGAGTAAAGCTTAAAGAGCCTGAGTCAAATGCTTTCTTTGGCATGTTGTTGAGAAAATTGAAAGATAGGAACTCGAAACTTAACAGGCATGTTATTGATTCTACATCTATAATTTGCGCGTTGTAACTGTCCATTTTATTGCTGTCTAAACTATTGAGTATTGACTATACCAAATTTTGTTATATTACGTTATAGCGATCAGTAAGAAGTAAAAGACTCAGATTAGAACAGAGTGATTGTATTCACCTTGTATTTGTGGTAAACATCACATGCTATGTCTCCATTGGCTCCACCGGAAAAACCTGGAAGCAAAAACTTGAAATATCATATGCCAATCTGCAGTTAATCTAAATACCTAATTCACAACATTTGTTTCCTGATAAAGAGATAAGTCCAAAAATAGTATATCCCCTTGATCAAATGTAGACCTATGGCTATAAGTAGTAGTATAACAATGTTCTGCACTCGGGCCTGTTGAGGATATAATTAAATAATAAAAGTGTACTTTCTCTAACAGCTTAAACTATTAGATGAGATGGTCATTCACTTTAACAAGGCCCAACTGAAGCGCGGACCAGGAGCACAAACATGAATGAACATGACTATAATATCATGTAAAAATATGACACAGAAGTCTAATTCAATTCCCAAAGCTCTCTCTCTCATAAAGGGAGGACTGCCTAAATCAATATAAACAAACCATCAATTAATCCATTCTCCAACTAATGCGAGACTCTAATCCACTCTAACAATGTGACATAGCTCTAAGTGACAAATACATGAAGTCAATCAGGCCAAAGCGAACAATACATGTCAACTATCTCTAGTTTCAAGATTATTGAAACAGAAACTCAGAAAGAGGTTGCAAAGCCAAATGATTCATTATTTAGGAGCATTACGAAAGTATTTCAAAGATAGGATTATCTTGACGTAGGGCCTAAATCAACCTAAGTTAAATGAAGTCTCTATCGTTCTGCTTTAAAAAATCAGATATGAAACTTCATACACCTTAAAGTTCATATGACAATACAGAAGCAGAATTGAAAAGATTTGAGAAACAAAACCAGCATGAGCAAAAGTGTCCCAAATACTAGGTGTCCTTCCATCTTCAAATGCTGCCCCTTCAACCTTTTTATTCAAAAATAACCAAACCAAACCAATCAAATAATGAACACTAAATCTGATTACTATCAAAAAAAGAAAAAAAAAAAACTTTTGAAACTGACTTGATAGGCAGAAGTTCCAGCACCAAAAACAAAGCCAGGAGGGAAGTCACCTCTGCTATAATTGTCCACACAAAAGACTGTCACCAGTAACCATTGGATAGAAAAAATCAGCACCAAAAAACTGAAATTGGATTGTAAATTTTGGAGCATCATCATTCTTGTACCCTCAATACTTCAGTGTCTTTTTCACTAGACTCTGAAACACCATATAGTAAAAATCAGATTTGTTTTTGTGATTTTTTCGCTCTAACTATTAGATGTTCTGTTTTTCTATATGAACTATTATCATTTATAACACATATTTCCTCCATCCCAATTTATGTGGCTCTTTTTGGATTTCGAGATTCAAACAAGTTTATTTTTTACTGTAAATTTTTCATACATCTTTTAGATATTTTGAATTGTCAATTACGTAGTTTTTACGTAGTACTTTTTACTTAGTTTATAAATATATAAATTTCATTTCACAAAATTTGAAGATTTCATGTGTAAATTGTTGATCAAATTTAAACTGTTTGACTCTCGAAAAATGAAAAGTGTCACATAAATTGGGACAGAGGGAGTATTAACTATCAACTGTTATCTTTTTAAATTTGAGTGATGGTGATATTTCAATTAGAAAATTGTTCTGTTTTTTTCTATTTGAACTATTATCATTTATAACACACCTTAACTATCAACGGTTCTCTTTTTAAATTTGAAAGATGATGATATTTCAAATAGAAAAATTGTTCTGTTTTTCTATTTGAACTATTATCATTTATAACATATCTTAACTATCAATTGTTCTCTTTTTAAATTGAATGGTGATGATATTTCAGATAGAAAATTTATTCTATTTTTCTTTTTGAACTATTATCATTTATAACACACCTAAGGTATCAATTATTTTCTTTTTAAAACTTGAATGATAGTGATATTTCATAAAAATGAAATTATTGGCGTATGCTTAATAAATAGATGCTAATTAATTAGGTTTGGTAATGAGAAAAGTTTCATCCACAATTGTCAAATTAAATTATCTTGGGGAACCACCTATATTGGATAGTGCACGCCCACACTATTTTATTTTATTTTCATTTCATTTTACTTGGCCTATATTTTTTTTTAAAAAAAAAAACTCTTAACTGGTATGAAATTGAATAAAAATGTTCGTCAATAATTTGATCCAAAATATTCATGCAACTAATAGTTTCATTCGAAAATATTTATGTTGTTAATAATTTGATCTAAAAATATTTCCATTTAGATCAAAAACATTTTTGCCTGATAAAAATTTTATTTTTTAAAAAATACATTATATTTTTATTTCTTGATCTTGTTCAAATTGAAGTAGGATAAAACATTTGCTAACATATTCTTTGATTTTAAGATTAATATGAAAAAGGGGATAACTCCATCGACTATACTTTAAAGATATTTTGTGTTTTAAATTAATGTAATAATTTTGGGAAAAAGGATAAATATATCCCCGAACTATCACAAATGGTATATCAATACCCTCCGTTATACTTTAAGGTTGTATATACCCTTACCGTCAATATTTTGGATCATCTATACCCTTAAGACTAACAGATTGACACATGACATCATCTAAATAACTAACCTGATTTTATTTATTTATTTATCCAAAAAATTTGAAAATCCACCCATTTTCTATAATTTACCCACCCATGGCCCAAATTAAAATACCATGGCATTTAAAACTAAAAATAAAAAAAACATAGCTTTTCATCTTCATTAAAAATCAAATAAAAGGAAAAAATGTTCTTCAATTCATTTTCCAAAACTCACAAACAGAAACCCAGAAGCATTATTTCAATCAAAATCAAGAAAACCAATTTCATTTTTTTTTTGTTGAAATCAATTTATTATTTATTGAAGGGGGTTAAGAAAATACTACCACCATTGATGGACTTCAAGCTTTAAAGTGGGACTACATTCAAATAGAAAATTTCAAGCTCAAATCAATTTGTTATTGTTGAAAGGATTTGAGAAAATACTATCACCATTGGTGGACAAAGCTTCAAGCTTTAAAGTGGGTCTACAATCAAATCGAAAATTTAAAGCTCAAATTGATTTGTTATTATTGAAAGGTGTTGAAAATATTTTTGAAATAGATGATGTACAAAACACCCAATAACCTAGATTCCTACTGTGCTAAATGAAGATGAAGATTTTTTTTTTTTTTGGCCAGCAAGCATAAAGCTATAAATTTAAAGAATTCGAAAGACACACAATTGACATAACTTGTCGGGGATGTTACATGTTGAAGCTGAATGGAATATGGAAGGTACAATGTTTGAAGTGAAAGTGATGAAAAAAGTAGTTTTAGTGCACAAGTCATCTTCTTTTTTGAAAAATGAGTTTTTGATTCCATGGTTATGGTCAAGGGCGGACCCACGTGTTGCTCAGGGGTTCACCCGAACCCCTTCAAAAAAAAATTACATTATATATATAAGGTGAATTTTCTGGATTTATGTGGATATATATATTCTGAACCCCCTCAATGACAAGGTGAAGGAGATAGCCCAGTGGCAGCTCCCTTCAAAGTTAAGCCTGACGTCCAGGGATCGAATCCCTGGGTTAACGTTTTTTTTTTAGTTTTTTACTTTCAGTTTTTTTTTTTGTTCCAGTTCCGATTTTAATGTTTTTTTTTAATAAAACGTGCTAAAATGTGATGTTAAACCCAAAAAATTCAAGGGTCCCAACTCCCATACTCCCATTCCTAAAAGCTGATAACTTTTTCACTTTTCAAATCCCTAAATCACTTTCTTGTTCTTCCCCAACTCAAAACTCAATTATTAAAATCATCTCCCATAATATTCTATTGTTGATTGTTTCATACTTGATACTTCATGCTTGAATCTCACATTCAATTCGAAATGAAAAATCAAAACTCATGCTTATTGCTTAAAAGGTAAAAGCCTTTTTCTCTTCTTCTTCTTTTCTTTCAATTTTCAAGAAATTAAATGGGTCTTTATTTTTTAAGGTTGTAGACTTGTAGTATCTCTGATTATCTGAAGTGGAGGCTCAAAGCTAAAATTAAAATGGTTGATTGTTTGTCTTTTCTCCAAGGTAAGCTTTTCTCTCAATTTTCTTGAAAAGTTCATCTTTCTTGATTGAATATTGACTATCTTCATTTTAAATTGTGAAATTTTTTTGATTGTTTTTTTCTATTCTTTCTTTGATAGTCGTAATTAGATTGATGAACCATTTGAATTTTGATGGTAATATCTAATGTAATTTGTAAAAAGTTATCTTTAATGCATTTAACAATTAACTATTTTGTATAGATTCATAGTCAATGGAGAAGTACTTTTTTAAAGTATCAAATTCAAGTTCTATTACTCAGAATCAACCTAACTGGGAAGAAAATGCTAATCATTTGGAAGTACCATCATACTCTTCTCAAGAATTTGATTTAAGTTCTTTAAAGGCAGATCCAGGTGAAAGAACTCAAATCTTGGAATTTCATCCAAATCACCGTGACGCTATTAGAAGAGCTTATCTCCAAAAAAAACCTTGTCAACCTCTATTAAAAGAGTTTCCACAAACAAACATTTTTGGAGATGTGCGTCGTTTTAATCATAAATGGTTTGATAAATTTCCTGATTGGTTAGAGTATAGTATAAGTAAAGATGCAGCTTTTTGTTTGTATTGTTATTTATTCAAGCAAAATAACAATCTTCAAGGCGGAGGTGAAACATTTTTGAGTGTGGGGTTTAGAGGTTGGCATAAAAAAGCTAGTTTGCAAACACATGTTGGTGGGCATACTAGCATTCACAATCAGTCAAAAAGAAAATGTGAAGATCTAATGCGACAACAACAATATCCATACATGCTTCATTTGAGAAACAATTTAATCAAGATAAGCACGGGTATCAGATCCGCTTAGCAGTTTCAATTGATGTAGTAAGACTTCTTGTGAAACAAGGCTTGGCATTTCGAGGTCATGATGAATCTAAATTATCACTTAACAGAGGTAATTTTCTTGAGATTCTTTCATTTTATGCCCAAAAGTGTGATGAAGTTCGTAAGTTTGTATTAGAAAATGCTCCTCAAAATGACCAAATGACTTGTCCAAAAATTCAAAAAGATATTGTAATTGCTTGCAAGATTGAAACAATTAAGGGCATCATAAAGGAACTAAATGGTGATTATTTTTCCTTATTGGTTGATGAATCTTTTGATGTTTCACGCAAGGAGCAAATGACGGTTGTTTTACGATATGTTGATAGAAGAGGATTTGTGATGGAGAGACTTCTTGACATTGTTCATGTTAAAAATACTAGTGCTTTATCTCTAAAAGAAGCAATTGTCAATTTACTTTCTCAACATTCCTTGAGTCTATCTTATGTGTGTGGACAATGCTATAATGGAGCAAGTAATATGCAAGGTGATATCAATGGCCTTAAGATGTTGATTAAGAAAGAAAGTAGATCGGCTTATTCCATACATTGTTTTGCTCATCAACTTCAATTAACTCTTGTTGGTGTTTCTAAAAGATGTCTTCAAGTTGGAGAACTTGTTCATTTGGTTTCAAATATTTTTAATGTTTTGGCGGCTTCTTATAAACGTATGGATGATTATCGAGAATCTCAGGAAAAAATAATTCAAAAAGCTTTTGATATGGGTGAGCTTAAAACGGGTAGAGGCTTGCATCAAGAAATTGGTATTTCTAGAGCTTGCGATACTCGTTGAGGATCTCACTTCAAATCTTTTAATTGTTTTATTCTCAAGTTTGGTACAATTATGGACATTCTTGATAATATTGTTGAAACTGCACATTCTATGGATGAAAAATCCAGGGCAACATGATATATCAGAATTGCTCAAACTTATGAGGTTGCATTCATGTTGCATTTGATGAAAGAAGTTTTAGGAATTACTAATGATCTTAGTACATGTTTACAAAAAAAGGAGCAAGACATTGCAAATGCCATGCTACTTGTTAAAGTGGCCAAGAGAAGGCTATAAGAGTTGAGGGAAAATGAAAGATGAGATTTATTTGTTGTTGAGGTTTTTGCATTTTGTATCAAGTATAATATTGTGGTGCCTAATTTTGACGAGCCGTATGTTAATTCTGGAAGATCACGGCGTAAATCTGCTGATTATACTGTTTTTCATCATTATCGTGTTGAAGTATTTTGTAAAATAATTGATTGGCAATTGCAAGAACTCAATGATCGTTTTGATGAGGTAACAACCGAGTTGCTTTATGGAGTTGCTTGTTTGAATCCGGTAGACTCATTTTCAAGTTTTGATATCCAGAAAATAATAAGAATGGTTGAATTATATCCTAATGACTTTGATGAACTTAGCATGTGTGCACTTGAGAATCAACTAGCGAATTACATTATTGATGTCCGTGATATCGATAAAAGGTTCTTTGATTTACATGGGCTTTGTGATCTTTCAAAAAGATTGGTTCAGACAAAAAAACATTCATGTTATCCTCTTGTATTTCGTTTGGTGAAATTCGCTTTGCTTCTGACAGTTGCCATTGCATCCGTTGAAAGAGCTTTTTCGGGAATGAAATTTATTAAGAATGAGTTGCGAAGTCGAATGAATGATGACTTCTTGAGCGGTTGCATGGTTCCTTTTATGAAGAAGGATGTGTTTAAGGATGTTTCAACGGATGATATTATTTTGTCTTTTCAAGCAATGAAACCTCGTCGAATAGTATTATAAACGTACTTGAGAAGTATTAGCACTGACCTCTTTTGGAGTTTGTAGTTAGCACTCTAGTCCTAGATTGACATATTGTAAAGGGCTAACTTTTTGTTTCACTATAATCACTCATGTTAGTTTCGGATTTCTTGTAACGAAACTAACTTTTTGTACCTATAAACTATATACTACTACTTCCTTGAAATTTTATTTTGTTGGCTTATTTACACGTTTATACTTTTATTTTTCGAATCCCCTAAACGAAAATTTTGGGTCCGCCACTGGTTATGGTGGGTTGAGAAGAATAAAGGGATGGTTTTTGATGAAAATGAAGAGTGGATTTTGGCACCACCCATTTTGGTTGTGGGTCGGGTAGATTTTAATTTTTGGGTAAAAAAATAAATAAAATCGGGTAAATCATTTAGATGATGCCACGTGTCCATCCGTTAGTTTCAAGGATATATACAACCCAAAAGAATGACGGTAAGGACATATACATCCTTAAAGTATAACGAAGGATATTGACATACCATTTATGATAGTTCGGGGTATATTTGTCTTTTCATGTTTTATGTTCTTATGATTGTAGTATTTTAAATTTAAAACTAAGAATTATATCACCAAATGTTTATCCTTTTTTAATTCAGAAAATATTAAGAAATAAAATATTTTTTATTTTATCAGTAAAAAAAGGATTTTATCGTTATCTAAATAAAAATTAATGATAGATTACTATGATCTTACCTTAACAATGAATTATAATATTTTTATTATGAAAAGAATGTGTGTGTTTTTTTAAAACAATAATACGTTGATTAGGAAAATGTCATTTTGCCCCAACACAATACAGTACGATATAATACAACACAATACAATACGATACATTGTCGTTGATGGTGTAATGACGTCTCACTACCCATAACGGATCCAACTATGCATATATAAGGTTTGCAATGTATTCAAGGCAAATGCAAATCCCGGCTTTTGGACATCAGGATCTGCATTTATTTTGAGGCTAGAATTCGAAAAATAAAAATATAGTGTCTACGTATCCTTGTACAATGATACGCGATCAATCTTATTTGCAAAAGTTTGCAACAGAGAAATTTGTGAAATCCCTAACTGTGATTGTAAACACAATATTGAGAAAAAAGATACTCATTGAGAAGAATGAAGTAGTAATTTATCACTATGTTTGTAGCTTTTTCCCTTCAAGAAATTAGAGTACCAATGTGCAGAAACCTTTGGATATCTTGTTAACTCTTTGTCATTCAAATCCACATAGTATAAGCCAAACGCAGATTCATACGCGTTGAATAACTCAAAACAGTCTAAAAATGACCATGTGAAGTAGCCTTTCACATTTGATCCATTCCTACGAAGTAAAAATACGAAGAAGTCAAGGGAGTACTTCTGATGAACACCTTCGCGTCTCTCATTAAATAACAAAATGTGTAATGTGAAGACAGGGAGGGGGGCTTACCTCACAGCATCAAGCAAATTGCCAATATAAGCTTGCAGATATTCTATCCGAGTTGTGTCATTTAACGTTGCATTTCGTGGTGTCATTTGACCTGACAAAACAAACAACACCAGGCTTTTTAGAATACTTGTTTTATGGTAGCCTACGCGTATAAAACAACACGATTGGGCTTGTTTGTGTGTGAATGAGAGGAACGAACCATTTTCATGAATATACATAGGTGGATTTCCATAAGCTTGTTTGAAATATTCTAGTACTCCTTGCAGACCTGGTTCTGTCACTGAATACTGATACAGAACAAATTTTCAATCGAAAAATAAATAAACATAAACAAGGTAAATTGCACACATGTCGCGAGCCTCACCTGGCCTGGAAGTGTACCACCATTTTTCACTGCATAAATAAAGAGATAGAAGCATTAAGTTTTGAGATCAAACAAAGAGAAACTGACGTTGGAATTTAAGCTGAATAGTGTCTTCTATTGTCAATTAAATGGATCACGTTATGTTTATTTTGATCGATGCATTAGTCATTTGTTCTTACATATAAATTCAAATGCTGAATCGGCAGTGAAGTCTCTGATATCATTTTCCAGGCTGTTAGAGCTGTCTTTAACGCGTACTGTCATATAATGATTCAGAGCTATGAAATCTATAGCCCCTTTAACTTGCTTAGATTCTCGTCTCGTGAATTTGGGCAATCTAGAACCAGCATTCTTCTTCATTATATCGGGATAATCCCCAAATATCAATGGATTCACAAACCTTCATTGAAGATAGGAAATTTATTAGACGTTAAATGTTTGAGATAGTCGAGATGTAAATAAGCTAAGAAACTTCTTCATCTTACCAGCCGAGGTAAAAATCATTAGCTCGTTGTGCTGCAATTACATCAGCTGTTTTATTTGTATAAGGAAGAGACCAAAACGCGAAGAGATTTAATCCAACAAAACCATGTTGAGTTGACTGCATTGGAGCGTGTACACACTATTAGCAAACATTTGGGGATTTAGTACACTAGTAAATAGTAATCGCGATGTTTAAAGAATCACCTTGTATTTTCTCCTGTAGAGTCTCACCACAGCTGAATGCGCAAGCAGTAAATTATGACCTGCTATGTAAGGCTCGGTTGATGAGTTACCAATAGGGCAGGGTCTCATTCCGAAGGGCGGGGAACAATGATTTGGAGGGCTCATTCCATTATCATAACCGCCTAGAGTGAATACATTAACCTCATTCAAGGTAGTCCAATGCAAAACTCTATCACCAAATTCCTTGAAGCACACATCCGCATAGGCAGTGAAGTCATCGCTAAAAGGAAAAACATCAACAATCATGTTATATCATTCCAAATGTGTAGCAAAACATGAACTAAACTTAAAGTACTCTGCATCACACATTATCTTTCGACTCATCCATCCTCCATATTCGTTTTCAAGTACTTGTGGCAGATCACTATGACATAGAGTAACGTGTGGTTGAATTCCTACAAATTAAGGAAAAATAAAAACACAACTCAGTCAATCAGATAAGCCATAGATCATTTCTCAACTCAGAAAAAATTAGAACTAGTGCTTATGGAAATGTGATCTTTACCATGACGGACGATTTCATCAATGAGATTGTTGTAATACTGCAATCCCTTAGGATTAACAGAACCTCTTCCATCTACATAGAGAAAAAAAATCAAGTATGAGAAAGAAAGATAAAGCTTACAACAACATTATATGTACTGAGTAATTGAACAAAAGAGCTTACTAGGAATAAGTCTCGACCACGAAATGGAAAATCTATACCCTTCCAAACCTGTATCAGCCATGAGTTTTACATCTTCCTGCAATAGACAATATTTAAAGGCAATCATATTAATCATCAATTATGTGAACTCGAAGTTAAATTGATCATGTTTCCTCTCCTGTACCTTGTATTTATGGTACGCGTCACAAGATACATCTGCAGTAGCGCCTCCATATCCACCTGATGAAAATTTAGGCATGGAACTTGTACCATTTAGCTACAATTGTACCTCTATCATAACGATCTTCGAAAATTATCTTTTTATTTAGTACAACTACAATCATAAGTGATTAAGGAGAACAAACCAGCATCAGCAAAAGTGTCCCAAATGCTTGGAGTTCTTCCATCTTCAGATGCTGCACCTTCAACCTTTCATCAAAACGAAGCACGAATCAAGTAATTACTCTCTACTGTATTAGCTACTAAATTTTGTATATCCATATACTAATCGGACTTAGCTTAGAAGTTATGGATTCACGTGAATTAGTATTTTACTGTGAACTCAGTTTTTACCGTATATTATTTACATTTTGCAAGTTAACTATTGTTATTGACGTCAGTGTATATAAGTTAAATCGTACATTTTAAATAAAAGTTACTGACTTGATAAGCAGAAGAACCGGAGCCGAAGACGAAAGTATCAGGGAAGTCTGTTCTCCGGACGCCGAAAACTAGGACCGGAAAAACAAGCATCACCGCCGTGAATATACGTCGGAGCTGGTGGTTCGTCGGAATTGTCATCCTTCTTCTGTGTCAGTGGAGCTGCCGGCAGCCGGCTCTGCTTCTTAATTGGCAATTATTAAGTACTCTTGTAGCTTCCGTAAAGCTTGTTATAGTAACATATCTCAATTTTGTCTTATACTACTATAAATTTACAACTGGATGAAAATGTTATTATAGAGCAAATTAGCAAGGCGGAACCTTAAGGAAAATACTTTATTCACGAATATTTGTATGAAATTCACCAAAGTTTTGATGCGTATCAGACATTTTCATTAAGAATATTTCATAGGGATATTTCGACCAATAAAGATTTTATGAATAAAAAATCCAGCACTACAAGATATGAAAAAATATGAGAATCCTTTTTTTTATTATTTTAAGATGATTTTTGTTAATTTTGATTTTTATTTGTGAAATTTGCATAAATAGCATAAGAGAAAAATATTGCAAAGCATTCTTTTTTTTTAAAAAAAAAAAAAAACTTTTGATAATAATAGGGTTCAAAACCAACAATGTTAGCCTGGAAAAGCATTTTCATAGTCCCTTCCTTACCACTGAGTCGTAGTCAATTTTGTTAGGAATCACAAGTTAATATACATATATATTTCTTTAATTTTCTAATACAAATACAAGGTGTACGGAAAAACTATTAAGTTCATTCAAACCCCACTTAGTTCCACTCTTGATCAAACATCCCAAATATTGAAAAGTAATTAAGTCTTTAAGACTAATGAAGAATTGACTTAATGAATTGTTAATAAAGGGCGAATATTTAGGGATTAATAACAATAAAGAATACGATTCAATTGTCAAAAACAAACGCTAGATTTAAACAAAAATTAATAGTCACTCAATGTTATTCAATAAGAAATGAATCTAGATAATAATATGAATACTTCTTTTTGAGATACTAGAATCATTTTTTCAATAATTTCTTCATCGGCATGGGACATTTCATTCATCATCACCCTTTTCACGATACGTGCATATATTATGATACCATATCAAATTAGCTTTAAAAAAAAAAAAGAATTATCTGAGCCTTATAAGAAATGCAAAATTTTATTCATTCACCAAGGTATGATATTTCATTTATTCATCATTAACTATCACTATATACAAATCGTGAAGGACTAAACCACTAGAATTAAGTACAAAACTTCAAAACAGGTCATGATCAGGTTTAATTTTTTTAAATTGTTTTTAACCTAACGATGAATTTAAACGATACTATACAATAGAATTCAAATAACAATCAAAATAAACATTGCATTGAAATAAAAAATAAAATTATACTACATTTTTAAATAATTTTTTTAATATAATTTGAGAATACTCCAATTAAAACAATTAAAACTCAAAACACTTTAGAAATAATAGATATTTACACATTATAAAAATCATAAAATTTATACTGTGCATAAATTCCGACACACATTAATAGTAGTCTTGTGTTTCTATATCATGCTGATTTGATAACCTGCGAAAAGTATTAGGAAATTGAAATAATTACTTTTTACCTTATCAAATTTAGTTCAATTTTTTATGGCTATTTAACATCACTAATATTTTATATTACTATAATATCTATCATCATTGCATAGAAGTTTATTATAAACTCATTTTTGTTATTATTGTGGTTGTGATCATACTAGACAATAATAATGTTTTGGTGCTACATGAATGAGTCGATTTAGCAACACTTATTAGTGGAAGCAATCGAATATTTAATCAACTTTACACACTTTTGTCTAGCACTCTCTTGCTCTTAAGAGAGAATTTAAACAAGAACAACTATCCAAAATACAAAATGCTCAAAATGGGTTGAATTATTGGGTCATTAACCCGCTTAAATACTATTGAAAAAATTACTTGACTGAGTACTTTTTAATAAATAATTACTGATTTTAGTGATATTTTTTATTTATCATCATTCATAACAATATTATGGTATATATGTATTATAAATGTTTTAAAATATATTATGCTTCTTTGGTAAAAAATAATTGACACAATGTTGTATAAGTGTATTAAAATATGTGATAAATGTACTATCCATCAATAAAACTTGTATTATATGATCTTTATAAATTGTTCTATGTAATATATATTAAAACTGTATTATAAGTGGAGGAAAATGATATTACTACTAATGGTAAATATTTTCTTAATATAACATATTTATTTAAGTTTTTCATTATTATTTGGATTGAAATGGATTGAATTGAAATGAGTTATAAACCGGGTCATAGCCCCCATCCTAATTCTTACTATATTTTAAATTTAAAGTTTGTTTTCTTATAAGTACCTAGTAAAATGTTTCCCCATTTGGATTTAATTTGATATAGGTTATTTAATTTAGTGGGCCGGATCGAATCAAAAGAGGGGGGAGGGGGTGAATTATTTAGGAGAAAGTCGGTATTTTTGTTTGATTTCAGGAATTCCATCCATAATAATAGGGACATATTTGAATATTTACATAACGGCAGGAGTATATTTGGTTCAATAGTATAACGACAGACAGACTTAACTAAGATACTCCAAATGTCAATCACTTCACTATTAGCATTAATCCTTATTACTCTTTGCAATAATTAGCATAAAAACAACTAACATTTGAAATAATCTATGTTGCTCAAACTCTTCAAAAATGGCAGCGGACGCATGTCGGATTCTTTTTGGAGAATCCGACACGAGTGTAGCATCGAAAGTGAAGAGTCCGCTCAACTTAGAAATAATACATCATTATTGTGAAGATACAAATGAAACCACAAAATACTTATTGTGAAGAATGAAGTACTTCATCTTCAATCTGAAGAATTTCACTATGTTTGGAGGCTTTCCCCTTCAAGAAATTAGTGTACCAATGTGAAGAAAGCTTTGGATATCTTGTTAACTCTTCGTCATCCAAATCCTGAACCATATGCATCCAGTAACTCAAAACAGTCTAGGAACGACCACACGAAATAGCCTTTCACGTTTGATCCATTCCTAAAACAGAAACAGAACATCATGAATATCGTCTAAACATAATTACTTCGTAAAATTACAAGCATGGCCAGAGCTGGAGGGTGCAAGGGTGCCGGAAACATATATTGATGTATAGTAAGATCTTGAATCCTCTTAGCTTCTTCGTGTGTTTACTTCTCTGTATTTTGAATCCTTTAGTAAAAATCCTGACTCTGCCAGTACTGGACTTAAAAGTCTAAGATGACTAGTTGGCATGTGGAGATTACACACTTCTGATCATTTAAGATCACTAGATTGCAACGACGAGATGCTTAAATGCTTGATCTATGTGTTTTAAAAAACGTGTTGTGTGAAAAAAAAGGGCTTACCTCATAGCATCAAGCACAGTCCCAATGTAAGCTTGCAGATATTCCACCCTTCTTGTATCATTTAACGTAGCATTTCGTCTTGTCATTTGACCTGGAAAAATAAATCAGAGCGAGCTTTCTCAGACTTAATTACTTTAGGCGAAAAAAGCTTCTAAACCAACTTTCAAAAGGCTTAGAAATCCGGAGTATGACAAAGAGCGAGAGAGAGAAAGAGAACCATTTTCGTGAATATATATTGGAATATTGCCATAAGCTTGCTTGAGATATTCTAATATGTCTCCTAGTCCCGGTTGTGTCACTGGATACTCAAACTGAACAAATTGTCAAATGAAAAATTAAATAAAAGTTATATAAACAAGGCAAAGTCATCATAGATTCATGTATGTTCGCAAGACTCACCTGATCTGGTGGAGAAATCTTCTTCGGTGTCTGTACAAATTCATAATGTTACAAAAAAACAACATAAGAAAGACGTTGAAGTAGTGATTTTTTTCATGTCACGCTAATATATAAAGGAGAACGAAGCTGATTGACGTCAGCAGCTTGGTAAAAGAAGATTACCTTGATCACCAAGCTTAAGATGACTATTATGTTTAACTGTCAATCGAACAGATCAAGTTAAGAGTAAGTCGTTATTCTTACATATAAGTTCGAATGCTCCGTCAATGGTGTAGTCCCTGATTTTACTCTCAAGGCTGCTGGAGCTATCTTTGACATGTATTGTTTGATAATGATTCAGGGCAATGAAGTCTATAGCGCCTTTAACTTGCATAGACTCTTCTCGTGTGAATTCGGGCAATCTAGACCCAACATTCCTCTTCATTACATCAGGATAATCGCCAAATATTAAGGGATTGGCAAACCTGCATTGAAAATATGAATTATGACAACATTCCACAAGATCAGCTTGGTAAGAGATGCTAATAGACCAAGAAACTTCTGCATTTTACCAGCCTACGTAGAAATCATAAACTCGTTGTACTGCATTTATATCAGCTGTTTCATTTGTACAAGGAAGTGGTCGATATGCAAAGAGATTCAATCCCACAAAACCATGTTGAGTTGACTGCAGCGACACACTCACATTATCAGCAAAAGTTTGGGGCTTAAGTATAATAGTAGTTAGTTCAGAAGGTGCTACCTTGTATTTTCTCCGGTATAGTCTCACTGCGGCTGAATGAGCAAGCAGTATATTATGAGCTACTATGTATGGCTCGGTTGAAGAGTTACCTATGGAACAGGATTTAGCTCCGAAAGGTGGGGAACAATGATTCGGGGGTGTGATCCCATTATCATAACCACCTATAGTGAACACATTGACTTCATTTAACGTAGTCCAATACGAAACCCTGTCACCGAATTCCTTGAAGCACACATCCGCGTAAGCAGTGAAATCATCGCTAAAAGGGACACACAAACAGTTTTTACACATTCAGTTAGATGTAAAAGAATACAGTAGCCAAATCATGAACTAAAATTAGAAGTACTCGATCTTCATCACACATTATCTTTCGACTCATCCATCCACCATATTCATCTTGAAGCGTTTGTGGTATATCACCGTGACATAACGTAATATGTGGTTGAATTCCTACAAAATATAATCAGACAAGTGATATATCATCTATTACTAACACGCGGACATTTAAACTTGAAATTGAAAAAGTAAGAACTAGCACATAAGGGGATCTGTTTTTAACCATGACGGAGGAGCTCATTGATGAGATTGTTGTAATACTGTAACCCTTTAGGATTAATCGAACCTCTTCCATCTACATGATTAAACAAAAACAACGAATGAGACGAAATATAAAGCTTATTACAACCTCATAGATACGATTGTACGAAGTAGTTGGATAATGTAGCCTACTTGGAATAAGCCTCGACCACGAAATGGAAAATCTGTAGCCTTCCAAACCCATATCAGCCATGAGTTTTACATCTTCCTGCAAAGAAACAAGCAGTCTAACTGATAATCAATTACATGAACTCAATGTTGAACTATCTTCCAGACCTTGTATTTATGGTATACGTCACAAGATACATCCGCGTTGGCTCCTCCATATATACCTGAAAAATTTAGTGTTAGTACAATCTAGTGTCATTTGTTGCTGCAGTACGAACAGGGCATAAACATTTTCCCATACCGTACCATAATAATCCTCGAAAATTATTACTTCCTCTATCCCAATTTATATAACTCACTTTCCTTTTTAGTCAATCCCAAAAAGAACGATACATTTCTATATTTACTGACAATTTAACTTTAAAATGATCATTTACCCTTAATGAAATAATTTAGACCCAAGTTTCAAAAGTCTTTCTTTCTTTCTTAAATTTTGTATCAAGTCAAAGTAACTCATATAAATTGGGACCGAGGAAGCATATGATTTAGCAAAGTGAAATGTGATTACAAATCTATTAATTTAGCCTGCGAAAACTACCATAATAAGCAAGCTAAAAGAAACCATATCTTCATATTCTGAGATTAGTAGAGTAAACCACAAGGATTGAAGAGAACAAACCAGCATGAGCAAAGGTGTCCCAAATGCTAGGCATTCTTCCATCTTCAAATGCTGCTCCTTCAACCTTTCGATAAACGTACCACATCGTCAAAGGTGGAGCCAGGATACCGTAAGGGGGTTCAGATGAATCGTTTTTGTTAAAAATTTACATTATATACAAATAAAGTTAAAATTATCTTTTATATATATAAAGTAGATGAATTCTCCGCTTTCTTCGTGTGTCAATTACCTCTTTATATTTTGAACCCACTTAGTAAAAATCTTGGCTCCGCCATTGCACTTTGCACAGAGTTTAGCATCTACTTTATAGGTATTTGCTAATCAGTAATCAACACTATACATCTATACACTGAAAAACTCATGTATGCACAAATATATTTTCTAGTTATCTTATTAGCGTATTTATTGTGTAAATTATGATGCGCGTGAACGTATGGTCTCCCTGCATAACTAGGGATTTCATGTACTTATTATCTACATTCAATATAATATTATTTGTTACCACTTATATTCCAAAAGCCTCTGATCGTTACACTTGGTTAAATATTAAGTTTTTATCTAGAGGAAAAGGAATCAATTCACATCTAAAACATATGTTTTAGAAATTCTAGATGCGTCTTTGATAAAAAAATAATATTCTTTTTATCTCAATTTATGTGATGTAGTTTGACTTGATACATTTTATCCTTAATGAAATGATTTATAACCACACAAATATCTATTACTTAGTAGGCGCTTGGCCATGCGATACCATATCACGATATGGTATCGTGAGATGGAATCAGCGTTTGGACATGCGATTTTACGCTGATTCCATCTCATGATTCCATATCATGAGAGGTGATACCATATTCTCCAAAAACCATGATATGGAATCACCATGTGATTCCATATCATGCTTTGAGATATTTTAATACAATAATTGATCCATGAGTTTATATTTTGTTAAAACAACCCCACATTTATATCTACTAACCATTTGTTTCATATGTAAATAAAATTTATAATCACATCATTACTTTTTAAAATTATTATTCTCACCGACATAAAATTTATTATTCTCACCAACATATAGTCACTTTAACTCACACCTCACGATTGTGAAACTTTTCAACATTCACTTGAAACAATTAACCGGCATGTTAAAATAGTTGCCGAGGCAATTAGCAAGATGGCACCAACATTTATACAACCAAAAAATATGACTGGTGTACATTCCAAAATTCGACATAATACTCGATTTTGGCCTTGGTTTAAGGTAAAATTTCAATCTCATTAATAAATTTATTTTATGGCCTTAATAAGTGAACATTTATATTTTATGTGTAAGTTATTAGTATTTAGTTACATATTTCCTATCAACTTTGTTTAAAGAGATAATATTTATTTTATGACTTTGCATTGTCTTGGAAGCACTATTTTTATTACTCTTACAAGAAGTGCATTCTATAATGCTTCCAATTTATTTTATGTTCACTAAACTAATATTGATGTATTTTTTATTTGATAGGATTGTGTTGGTGCGATTGATGGAACATATATAGAAGGGAAGGTTCCTAAAGCGGTGCAACAAGCATATCGTAATCGCAAAGGAAGAACATCACAAAATGTCTTATGTGCTTGTGATTTTGATATGCGATTTACCTTTGTTGCTACTGGTTGGGAAGGTACTGCACATGATAGTAAAGTACTTGAGAATGCACTTGTTGAACCAACGTCACAATTTCCATTTCCGCCACATGGTAACTTTAAATTACATCCTTAGAATAAATATTATTTATTTACACAAAGTTGTCTCATTTACGTCACATATGCTTTTAGTAATTCTTTATAAAATATTTTTTGGTAGATAAATATTATGTTGTTGATGTTGGTTTCCGAAACACAAAAGGATTTTTAGCTCCATACAAAGGACTACGCAAGTTCAACGTGAGGAAATTGTTCGTATTATGTGGGAGGATTATATTAAAGACTAGTACACTACAATTTATGTTCAATTTTTTTTTTATTAAATTAAAGTTAGATGAAACAATTACTTAAATGGAGAACAAATAACTTTATAATAATTTATTATGCGATGTTATAATTTTTTGTTTATTTGATAAGATTGAATAAACAATTGGGGCTATTTTAATAGTTTTACAATTTATGAGATTTTTATGTTTATGAGAAAATATATAACACAAAATTTTCATATCGCATGTCCAAACAAACCTTCAATTTCATCTCATGATTCCATATCATGATACCATATCGCATGGCCAAACGGGCCCTTAATTTAGACCACAAGTTTCAAAAATGTATCCTTCTTTCTAAAATTTCATCTCAAGTCAAAAGTATGAGTTACTTCGATTTCACACCAAGTTTAAGAAAGAGAGGAAGATTATTGAAACGTCTGATCTAAAATAAGTGATAGATTAAAAGGAGCATTTTTAAAGTTAAATTATTACTTAATAGTAAAATATGTCATTTTCTTTTTTAGACCAATTAAAAAGACAGACCAAAAAGGTATACTTTTCACATACATATAGCAATATTCTGTGAAGAAAATGTTGGATTTAGTTGAATGCATGCTAAAAATTAAATAAAACAATCACATAATGATTGATGGTTTAAAAAAACTAACTTGATAGGCAGAAGAACCGGCACCGAAAACGAAAGTATCAGGAAAATCCGATCTGCGGACATCACCGGCGCCGGAAAGTACTATAACCGGCAAGTTCGCTGCCGCTGCAATAATAAAAACAAGTAGTATTGCCGTGAAGAGATCCCGGAGCTGCTTCGCCGGCGGCATTTTTGTAATTTGTGTGCTGGGCTCTGCTACTATTCGGCATCTCTATATATTATTGTTTTCCCAAATTTTCAAACTGCAACAATAATTAATTTGCAAGTGGTCATTTGTTTATGGAGAAAATGTATTAGTGGCAGCCACCAATAATTCTCAACTTCTCCATTAATTATTAATTTCATTTTCAAAATATTGACAGTGTTAAAAATATCATTTTACTTGACTAATTTAAATACTTTCAATATTTGTGTTGATTTTTTATTAAGAGTTCAATATTGAGGTCACTTGCTATATCATCTGATAGATAAGGGGTGTATCTAAGTTTAGTTTTAGAGTCCGTTTGAATTGACTTAACTTTTAAGTCAAAAAATAAAAAGTTGAGGCTTTTGGTTTTGTACTTATTTTAAGTCATCTTCTAGCTTATTTTAAGTTATTTTTGATTTATTTTAAGTTATTTTTTATATTTATCAAATACTTTCAGAAGTAAAAAATTGACTTAAAAGTAGGTTTGACTAACTCTTAAGTCAATCCAAACACCCTCTTAGTCAGATATATAAGAGTGTTTTTAAGACTTGTTAATAGTTCGAGGACGAAACTAATAATTCGCTTTGAATTTAGGGTGTTTTCAATGTTGATGTATTTTATTATTATATTAATATGAGATGTAGTGCTAGTATTATTATTATTTTTATAGTTTGTGAATAAATAAATTTAAAATATTAAATTAGTCTGATTCAATTTAATTTTGAAGATTAATTAAATTGTCTTCCATGAAGTAAAACATAACATATAAAAATGAACATAAATACTAACATTCCTCTATTTCAATTAAGTGTATTACTTTTCATTTTCAATTCCGATTATGCATTTAGGGTCTGTTTGGAAAGTCATCAGGGAATTGAAATTGGTGTAATTACTACGGTAGCAATTATCAATCTGGTAATTACACAACTTAGTAATTACGCTGATTTGTTTGTTTGCCATAATGTAATTACATTATAATTACAAGTGTATTGTTTGATTGCACAAGTGTAATCATAAGGTTATATTGAATTTTAAAAATAAAAATTAATTCTTAAAAATTAAAAAATTATATTAGACAAATAAGGATCTTTATAAATGATATTAAATTAAATATTTACGATATATATTGTCTCTTGAAAATATATTAATTAATAAACATATGTTTTTAACTAATATTATAAAAAATAATTGATTTATATTTTCATTAAATTAATTATAAAAACTAAAAGTACATTATTTCCATGAACATCATGACATGCATGTTTGACAAAAAGATTAATATCATAAATATAATGTCATAAAATTATAAAACGTTTGACAAAAAGATAATCTATCAAGTCTAACTTAAAAAATAGCACTTAATGTAAAATATCGAGTCAATACTCCTAAAACAAATGAAATGGAAAATATAACATAAGTTCAAAATTCAAAACAAAAATTTAACATCTTATGACACATTTCAACATAAAATACATAAATATGATTTAAAAGAAAAGAAAAACATAAGTTCATAATCTTTATTCAAAAATGAATTCTACTTTAATTTAAAAATTAGCAACTAACAAAATTATACTAGATGGTTTTTTTAGAAGATACAAAAAATTGCATGGAATCACATAAAGTAAAAGTTGAGAATAAGAAGGAAATGGTATATAAATGATATTAAAAAAATATTTTTTTAAATAGTATTAGAATAATAAATCAAAACAATTTAAATTAATAAAAATAAAAATACATTAAAACGAAAAAAATTAAAACAAAAATAAAAGAAAGAAATTAACAAATAAACATCTTGTAATTACACCATGTAATTACCATCAATTCACAACCTCTCCTTGTGAATTGGAGAGTGTATTTACACTCTACCAATTACACCGAATTACTTGTTGATCAGGTAATTACATGCCCAACCAAACAGGACAGACAGTGTAATTACATCAAATCCAACTACCAGGGTGGGCTTTTCAAACAGGCCTTTAAAGAACTATGCATAATTTTAATATAAAATCAGAGTCAATAATCAATATAATATCTCCTTGATTTAAAAATGTCGAGATTCGTTTTTGATACTTTCTTTGTTATAATATATTGATTTAAGTCATCTACAATCAATTAAAGTTATTCTTATTATTCACTTAGACACTTTAACTAGGACTAGTACCTATTAGACACTTTAATATTAAATAAATATGTATCTATGGAACATAAATGGAAACTAACTTTAAAAATAATGTGCATGTGATTCTTGAAAAAGTCACAAATAAAACTATGACATGTGGCATGTGGGTTCAATCTAATCATAAAAAAAAATCAATTTAAGAAATTAAAAACAATTTCAACTATTAATAATTCAAAATGTTAATCAATTAAAAGAAGAAAAAGAAAAATTTGCCCCCTCCCCAAACCCAACCCAGCTAACCCTTTGGTCTTTCTTCTTTCCCCGGCTCACGATTGTCACCCTGTTCTCAACTCCACCAGCAAGATCCATTTTTTTTCTTCTTATTATAAACTATGGGATTAAGCATGATATAAATAGTGAAATTAACATAGGCGTATGTAGGAGGGGATCACTGGGTTCACGTGATTTCATGCTCCTCTCCTGAAATCATATATAGTAGTATTATATTTTAATTTTTTTTATTAAATATAGATGTGTGAACCCACAATCGAAATATCATATAATGCAATGATGATTGGGTTTACCTCTTAGTAAGATTAGAAATTTGAATTTTATATCTATCTTGTATTATTATTTTTTCTAAAATTAGGTAACGCCTCTCTAAATGGTTATTGGTAGCACTTTTGACATTTTAATTAATTAATCATTTCAATTTTGGACCTATAAATTTAAAATTTTAACCGTTGTCAATGATACAAACCTAAATGTCAAACCGATTAGATCCACCTTTTCATAATAGTACATCCATCATTCCAAAATCCTAGATACGCCTCTGGTGAAATATTATGACGTATGTGTAGCTTAGCGGAGCGACGTTTGTGGAAAATAAATTAATGTTAGTGAACGACGGCGAAGAGAAATCGAGAGTGGTCAAGTTATTTCTGTAGAATTCTCTAATATCACTTTAATAAATTTAATGGGTTTACATTTTAATTTGAGTGATGATGTTTGGTTAAAATGACCAGAAATAGGAAACTGACGGACGTCGGCCCAACTTTTTAAACTCCAATATCGAAATCTTCTTTCTTCTTACAAAGTTAATTCGTAGATTCAGTTTTTCTTAATATGAATGAAGTTTGAGAACGGAAAATGGAGGAATTTTTAGGTGTTCAATAGGTACTAGTTTTGATTGGATGAATTATGCTGACAACTTTAAGGGTCGTGTATGATTTCAGCCTAATATATTTGTTTGATTTGGCATGTGTGTTGGTGTCACACTCATCTATTCTATGTCCGAATGGAACTTTTCCTCGTGAATTGCCTTCTTCGAGACATGATCACGGGGCGGGATTCATTCCCCTTCTTGCTCCACCAATAAGCTTTTGTAATAATAGTAGGACCCTGTGTTAGCATCTTAGGAAGTTTGGAATGAAGTTTTAAAAAGTTTTTTAAAAAATGAATTAAAGATATATAGAATATGCATAATATTTTTTTAATCTTATGTTCTTAAATACGTAATTATATTTCAGAACAAAAAATATTACTGAATATAAAAAATAACTCAAAACAGTATGTATATACAAAGTATACCACACTTTGAATTGCTTTCACAATACCTATCATTGTATTAAGGACATAGTTTAACTTGCACAGGCACACACAAATATAAGTATTCGATCGAGAACCGAGTGTACGGTCGAATGGAAATTATGAAAGATCTGAGTGCAAATTATATCAGAGACAAGAAAATACTAAGTGAGTTTTTCATCCGTCCAAACTCCAAACCTTAGTCGATGCAATTATTTAGTAATATGTACTCATTGAAATAGTTGAAATACATACATACAAGTGGATCTGACCACATCGTTATCAAGAGAGAAAAAGAACTTGACTAACATCAGGATTTCTTATAACTATCATCTTCTAAAACTGGTAAAACACAATATCACTACATGAAAGAACCTAAAATTTGATAAATTTATAAGCAATATCTTTCACAACCCTATATGTGCTTTTGAAAATACTTCAAATGTATCTAGAGCCTGCTTTGATCGACTTATTTTTAAGTGTTTTTAAGTCAAAATAATAAATTAAAATTCCTAACTTATGACTTTTGACGTATAAACTATAAGCCCATCCAAACAAGCTCCTAACCGTCATTAAGTTTCATAAGAGGAGCATTTTGTATAATGTCAATATCATACAATAACTCCGTGCATTTCATAGCATGACGGATCAGGTTAAACTGAGCTTGGTGTGGAGATAGGTTTTTGATCGTGAGCTAAGTGTCTCACGTTACGACTCATTTCAGATCATAAGGTCGAGCTTCAACCGAACATTTTTTCTCTCTCTCTCTCTTCCCCAGATGAAATGACTATTGCATAGTCAAAAGTCCTACGAGCTTCATTCCAAATGGTAGATTATATGAAAGCATAGCAAAGAGACGATAATGGAGAGCTCATTAGGCCCGCCATTTTCTCAATCGAAAATGAAAATTAGCTTCCTGAACGACAACCATTCAACGGGATTTCACATTCACTATAAGTAGAAGAATCAAATGAAGAAGAACTCGTATAAATATAAATACTTCATCTGTTACACTCTATAATGCAAATATGGCAAATAACTATTGTAAGCAATCACAACATAGATAAATCCCAAAACAGCCTAAAATGGCAAACAATAACCAAATGCTAGTCACAAAAACACCAAAATATCAGTTCAAGTTAACACGATTACCCCATAATTGGTATAGAACCAATTCAAGTATATAATGGCCAATCAGTCCATGCTCCAGAAACATGGCCATTCTCACAGACATAAGCTCGAACAACTGGTTCTCCATCATCATGGTACCCAAAATACCTCCTCAAACAGAAGGCTGAATGCAGATCCCATGTCTGTTTTGCTGAGC